GCGTTCAGCTTGGGCACCACGTTGACCAAGGAAGTGGTAGCTGGGTACATGGGGTAGGGCTGGGGACACACAGGTGACCCCCAGCTCCCCCAGACCCCCTTATTCCCCCCGAGTGCCCTGCCCTCACCTTGTAGTCTGGCAGCTTGGCCATGGCCGGCCACTGCTCCTCGGTGGGGGTCCCCAGCAGCGTGGGGACAGTCAAGGGCCACCACGGGGGCACCCAGCACCTGCCCCCCTGCCCCGCCAAGGGGGCTCCCATTCCAAGGGATCCTCATTCTCAGAGCACCCCATTCCCCAGGGGGTCCTCATTCCCGAGGGCTCCCCATTCCAGGATTTCCCCAATCCCCCATTCCGGAGGGATCAGCATGCACAGGGCTCCCCATTCCCAGGGGATTCCCCACACCCAGGGGTATTGCAGTCCCCATTGCCAGGGGTTCTCTGTTCAAGGCTTTCCCCATTCCCAGCGGTCCCCATTCCTTTGGGCTCCCCATTGCCTAAGCTCCCCGTTCCCAGGGCATTCCCCATTTCCAGGCAGTCCATTCTGGGGTCCCCATTCCAGAGGAACCACCATGCACAGGGCTCCCCATTCCCAGGAATCCCCACTCCCTGAGCTCCCCATTCCCTGAGCTCCCCATTCCCAGGAGTCCCCATTCCTTTGGGCTCCCCATTCCCAGGAATCCCCACTCCTTTGGGCTCCCCATTCCCTGAGCTCCCCATTCCCAGGAATCCCCACTCCTTTGGGCTCCCCATTCCCTGAGCTCCCCATTCCCAGGAGTCCCCATTCCTTTGGGCTCCCCATTCCCAGGAATCCCCACTCCTTTGGGCTCCCCATTCCCTGAGCTCCCCATTCCCAGGAGTCCCCACTCCTTTGGGCTCCCCATTCCCTGAGCTCCCCATTCCCAGGGGATTCCCCTTTCCAGGAATCCCCATTCCTTTGGGCTCCCCATTCCCTGAGCTCCCCATTCCCAGGAATCCCCAATTCCCTGAGCTCCCATTCCTCTGAGCTCCCCATTCCCAGGAGTCCCCATTCCTTTGGGCTCCCCACTCCTTTGGGCTCCCCATTCCCTGAGCCCCCCATTCCCAGGCAGCCCGCTCCCCATTCCCAGGATATCGGAAGATCCTCTTCAGCTGGTCGTCCACGTCGTTGCCCGGGAAGAGGGGCCGCCCCGCGTTGGCCAGCTCTGGGGGGGACAGGGGGTGGTTCCCACGGGCCCCCAGCCCCCCC